CATCCTTTGTAGGCCTTTCTTTTTAGCCTCAAGAGGTCTGCTAGGTCCCTGGAGAGCCAGGGGGGCTGCTGTGCCCTCTTGCTGCCTTTCCTCCAAGATGGAATAGACTTAGCTCGTGCATTGAGCATCGCTCCCTTGAGGAGCAACCACTCTTCTTGAACTCCCCTCTCCCTGGGGTCATGGTCCCTTAGGGCCTGACTGACAAGCCTCCTGAGCTTGTCAAAGTTGGCTTTCCTGAAGTCAAGGACTTCTGTGTTGCTGACTGACTTGCCAGCTTTACGGTGGATGGTGAAGGTGATCAGCTCGTGGTCGCTGTCATCCAGCTTCCCACTGATCACTACATCGCCGATTAGGTCATCCCCAGTAGCCAGTACCAGGTCTAGCAGCATTTTGCCTCTTGTTGGCCCACAGACTTCTTGAGTCAGGTAGAGGTCATCCACGCACGAGAGGAAGCTTTGCGACCACTCAGATTTTGTTGAGTGATTCTCCCACGAGATGTCCGGGTAATTGAAGTCATGGATGACAACCATGGTCCTGGAGCATGTGGCCTCAGCCAGTTCCCGGGAGAACGCCTGCTCAAGCTCAGGACTTTGGGTGGGAGGTCTGTGGTAGACTCCCACCGTTGTGTCCCCTGTGCCATGTTCCCCACGGATTTTAACCCAGAGGGTCTTCAGTCATCCACCCTGGTCGCCAAGATCAGCTTGCAGGGACGTGTAGCTTTCCTTAACATAGAGAGCTACACTCCCGCCCCTTTTATCTACACGATCCCTCCTGTACAGGGTATAGCCATCTATACCCAAGGTGCAGTCATGGGTGGAGTCCCACCAGGTCTCTGTTATCCCTATGACATCATAATTATTTGCATTGAGCAGGAGGACAAGCTCCTCCTGCTTCTTCCCCAAGCTCCTGGCATTTGTGTACAGGCAGCCAAGTGTCCCCCTGAGGGCTCTTGCCTTGCTCACAGATTGTACCAGGCCTGGGGCAAGAGTGGGCTCCCTTAAGTGCCTTGGCCTGCTGGCTTTGCAAGGGCTGCTCAGTGGTCCAACAGTGGCGGTAGTCCCCCCGTCCCCCAACGGACTTAGTTTAAAGCCCAGTGGAGCAGGTCAGCCAGTCTGGCTGAGAAGAGCCTCCTCCCCAGGGGAGAGAGGTGGAGGCCATCTCTTCCCAGCAGCTCGCTGCCTCTCTCGCCAAAGAGCAGGCTGTGGTCATGGAAGCCAAAGTCTTCCCAATGACACCAGTGCCGCAGTCTTTGGTTGACTACGTGGATCCTCCTCTCTGTCCTTAGTCCATAGCCCGAGACTGGGAGGATCGACGAGAACACCACCTGTGCCCCCAGACCCTTTAGCCCCGCTCCCAAATCCATGTAGCGCCTCATGACCTGGCTGGGGGCGCTGTGAGCCATGTCGTTGGTGCCCTCATGAATAAGGAGCATGGGATAGCGGTCTGGGGGCTGGAGGAGCTCAGGGATCTTCTCTGCAATGTCCCGGATGCGGGCCCCCGGGAAGCAGCAGACTTCCCGGGCTAAGGGGTCAGAGCGGCAGATTGCCCCCTCAGGCCCCCTCAGGATGGAGTCTCCCACAACAAACACCTTACATTTTGTCTTGGGGAGAGCGGGGGCGGTAGCTGCAATTGCTTTAACTTAGTATTGTTCTGTTCTCAAAAACTACCTGCAGAAGAATTCTGTATTTTTAGCTTTAAGTTTCATAAAATACCCTAACAAATACCTCATAATGTGTATCAGGAAAACCCACACACTCAGATTTTGTTCATCCTTTTTTATTTTGCAGACTTGGATCACAGATGAACAGTTCTCCCTTCTGCTTTAGGAGCTCATGTCCTCAGTTAAACATATATGACACCATCCCTAAGAACTGAATAGCTAGTCCATTTTCCTTCCTACTCCTATACAGAGTCATCAGGAATTAAAAACCGTAACAGAAACCAGGCCCAGAGTTTCTCTTCCCTCAATTCTCAACTTACATGTTACATCAGTGGCAAGTATCTTGGGGGATGGCTCCCAACTTGTATTTCTTTCCCTGTCTTTGGTCTTCCATTGAGATGAATTTACTAAAACCAACTTGCAACTAGCTCTTCTTAAACATTAACACAGTGCCCCAGAAGACTTTGTACTGGACCTAGCTAGCAGCTCTTCTGAAGCACTGTAGAAAATACTGAGAGGAACCCTGAAATGCTTTACAAGAGAACTGGTCATGGCATAAAGACTGCATATTAATGCTGTGGACTTGGGCAGCCAATCATCTCATCATTTGGTCCCAAAGTTTCAGAGAACAACTTACCTTGGCCCTCCTTGAAGAACCATAGTCACTGGGCCCACAAGATGTGTAACACCACCAACCCGAACAGCTGCTGTCAGCAGCTCTCTCATGTGAACTAGAGCCTGTTTCCTTGTGTTCCCACGACGCCACCTGGTCTGAGCAGCTAATAGAAAACTGCTGCTGGACACCTAAGGAGACACAGTAAAGTACTGTTATGAACTATGCATCTGTATCTTCCAGCTTAAAAGGTTTGACAATATATATGTTCTTCACTATTTAATGATTTAGCTTATTTAACATGACATACCGCTTGGTCCGGATTTGTTCCAATGAAAGCAAACAACTGCCCTAATAAGACACTGTACGTAGGTTTATCTCTGCTGTCTTCAATGGTCAAAGACTGAAGGAGAGTAAAAGAGCTACTCCTATGACTGGTAACATGGCGTCGTCTGGGGAAAACAGAACTTAAGAGATTAAAGGAATGGACTGGTAATAGAAAATTTAACTCACAATATAGAATGCATCATTTAAAAACTCAGTGGAAGAACATTTATATACCTCTGACTTGATCTAGTGAACTCCAAATCTTCATTTCCAATCATCTCTAGGTCAGAAGGTGCTGACATGCTTCGCAAGAAGACAGGCTGACGGACAGCGTGAGTTATTACTTTGGTTTCAGATGCTGACTTACAGGCTGCAAAAAGTCACAGAACAGACAGGACAGTCACCCCTGATCTCTCACCTCATTTACATATTGTTTTCAACTAGTAAAATGATGGAACAAAAACTGTAAAACTGAATTGCATACTGTCCTGTGGGTTTGGGAGGGCTATGCATTCAATTTCCATGACTTTCCTGCTGGCAACCTCAATTATTTAAACCTTATTTCAAGGTATCCATTTCTAATTAAAATATGCTTTTCATTCTGGTTGTTTGTAGCGTTTACACTTTAGGAGACTGGGGAAGGAGATGAATCACCTTTACGATCAGATCACCAGATAATTAGATGCAGGGGTAGCAGTGGACATAGTCTTCCTGGACTTCCAGAAGGCTTTTGACACTGTCTCTCACCCCGTTCTCATTAAGAAACTGGG